AGCTAAAAAATGGTCTAATTTTCATCTTAACACATTTACTTCAGTCATGTCTTGTATGTAAAATCAAGTGCAGCACCAGAACTGGGTTCTGCCACAGGCTCTGCAAAGCGTCCACAGTTCCCCTCACTGAGCGATTATCATCTTTCCACTTTGTGATGACAGACCTTTCACCATGCCTTTGAGTTTGGCCATTTAGAACCGTCGTAAACGCTTTTTCCTTCACATGTGGTCGGATGACATGGTTTGCAAACGAGTTCCTTTCAAGCTTGCCCACCATTTCTGTAATTTACACAGACACAGTTTTTAGAAGCTTGCCTGTTGAATTTCCTCTGCGCTACACTTCTTGTGTTAACTAGGATCACAGAGGAGGGTTTCACTCACGGACGCTTTATTTACAGAATACAAAGTACTTCATGTGTTCAGCCTTTATCACAGTCATGCAGTTTAGTTTTCTTTTAAATCACAAGCAACATTTTAAAGGTGATTAATACAAGGTAACTAGAACGCCATGAACAGTTTATGAAATGGAACATTTTACATACTTATGTTTAACTTGTTAATACGCCATATGTTGTTTTTTTTTGTGTATAATAGAAAACATATCACGTGCAAAACCAGTCGTCAACACTCCCACTCAGCGTTTCCTGCTGACAGCCTTAAAAAGACAGATTCAGGCCTCTGAGCCTTCACATGATACAAACCTGAGGAACCAATCCTATCAGTCTGAGAGCAGGGCTTTCTGTGTCGTTATCCTTATTGGTTCAAACATGTACAGCTGAATTAATTTAGTATTATATTTGTCATTGTGTCGTGTAGAGTAGTTTTACAGTGTTTGAGCAGAGTTGTAGGTGAGCTGATGTGTTGAAGTTGCAGCGCATGGTGACCGGTGGTTGGTGAGAGAGGCAGAGACTACATCCACACATTTTATAAACAGCATGGTAGAGGTCAGCTAAAGGCTGGAGAGGAGAAAAAAAAAACACATCTAAACATATAACTTTGATACAAAGAGATGAGTTCTTTTGGTGGGACTGAAGGATTGAAGGGGGACTCTATAATGCTTTTGTTCTTGCTTGATGCTATTTGTTTGATAACAGCGTTGGAGGCTCAGGTAGGAAACATTTGTTCAGCATGATGGAGACCAAGCTGCAGCTTTGTGTGTTGTTGTTCGACTGCCTGCTCTCTCGTGTTATCAACAGTATTTCTGTGTTTGTGTAACCTGACTGCACCATGTGCTAGGTCAACCTCAGCACGTCAGACTAAACACAATGCATAGTCACCCTGGTCAGACACACACACCCACACACACACCCACACACACACACACACACACACGGGCGGCCCTGTTTGATCCCTGTTAAAGTCAGTGGAGGGTGTTACATGTTTCCACTTCACTTCAGCCCCATCAAAATGCCCCATTGGAAATTTACAGGCCTTTCCGCTGCACAGTGGGGTCCTATAAACATACTTGTGCACTAGTATGTGCACATCGCACGTTCACACACACTCACACACACTTTAGAGACACACACATCCACAAAGCCCTGCTACACCTACTGCCACAAGTTTTATTCAGTCACATACTGAGCCAGGATCAGCCTGGTGGGACAACATGTCTTCTGTGTGTGTGTGTGTGTGTGTGTGTGTGTGTGTGTGTGTGTGTAGCCCTCACATTCCTGACTCTCATGTCATCCCTCTCATCAGACATTTCCCAGCACATAAACTCTCAGTGACACGTGTTTATTTATGAAGCCTAATGGTCTGTTATTCCACCACGCTGCCATGCTTAGCTTTATCTCCCTCACTCTCCTTTATCTCTCTTTGTGTCCCCTCATCTAAACAGATGTGGACGAGTGTCTGGACAACAACGGCGGATGCCAACAAGTGTGTGTCAACACGATGGGGAGCTACGAGTGTCAGTGCACAGACGGCTTCTTCCTCAGTGACAACCAGCATACCTGCATCCACCGCTCTGATGGTAAGACGTAGAAATGGGAATGCTGTGGGACAGTGAGCTGCTTCCTGTCTGAAAGTGAATCACTTACAAGAAGCAAAGGGTTGTGTCCAGCTGTGTGATGCCTTTTGTTTAATTAGAACCAAACAAAGAGTTTACATTGTATAAGATGTTGGTGACGTCAGATGAAGTGAGTTTCTGCAAAGTCAGTGAAAGTCTATGAGCAGGTGTGTGCTGCTGTGCTCTAGTTGGTACAAATTGAAAAAAAAAATCTACTTTGTTTGACATGATAAAGAAAGGAGAGAGTACAGTCACATGTTATTGGCTCTGCTCTCTGTAACTGGAGGACGTCTTTGCATATGGCAAATCAGAACTTGTCACTTTAAGCTTTTTTAGCTCTTCCAGGGTTGCAGTGCTGGTTGGCTCACCACTTTGGTGTAGACTGGAACATCACAACAGCTACAGAGTGGTATGGAGGGGTGGGCATTGCAAAAAAGCTTAAAAACAGCTTTAAAAATGTGATTCTGAACATCATTAAGGAAGTTTAATTTCCATTCTGCTAATTCCTTACGAAATAAATTTGACTCACCTTCTATCTACCGCCATCCATCCGTACTGTTTGTTTACCTTTATTATGCTGACTCAGCAGATGTAGGACGTGGGCATAAGCCACCAATCATTTAAGTCAACATTCTCCCACCTTCTGCCGTCTAGGTGTTACTATTTTCTTCACACCACACAACTCCAGGCAGCAACCTGCCACACTGAAACAGTTCCACTGTCATTGTTTTGAGGCTGGAGACTCATCCTTTCCTCAGCCCAGAACAACTGTGACTGGTTTGAAGAAATACAAACACGCCAGAGTGTTTATGCCCTTATAACAGAGTGATGGCGTGGTGAAGCCAGGCCGGTATGTTCTACAGAATGGAGTGGCAAAATGAGATGAACCTTGATAGACAGGCGGGCAGCTGAGGAGGAAGTACTCAGATCGTTTACTTACATGAAGTACTAATACCTTACTGTATTGAAAACGTTACTCAAAGTAAAAGTATGCAAGCATAGTCAGGAAAGTGTACTATGGGTTTAAAAGTGGTAAATGTCTCCTGTGACTGATCATTAGATTATCACTACTCATGCCTTAAAAGCAGTATTTTACTGTTGCAGTAACGTAGAATCAGATTCAAGACTTGCTTGGACCTGGATCTGATAAGCAACATCAGAACTAGAGTCAGAAATGTTCAAATACAAATGATAGTAATCAGTGGTTTGCTGTGACATTAGGGACAGATATTCATGGATGGATGAATCCTAGAAAACTAGTCATCCTCTGATTTTTGACTCTGGGGTTTTGAGTGGAATTCCTCAACAACAAAAACAACCAAACACCATTTAAAACTAATGACACTCAGGCTAAGCTGTACTTAGATAACATGCTAAACAACATGGTAAACATTAAACCCGCTAAACATGACCATATTAGCATCGTCCACACAGCAGCTAAACAGAGTGGATTACACCAAAATATAGGGGCTACGTGAGCAATATACCATGAAGAATAATTTATCATTGCAGATTTTTCTATTAGTAGCTAAACCGTTATCCCAGATCACATTTGAAGCCGGCCTTGCTTTTCCCTGTTCAGTCTAAGGTGTGTCATTCAGATGAAGCACCTCTTCATCTCCATCATGTCCCTCTGTTGTTTGTGGAGTTGTCATGGTCAAGTCACAACTGCTTGCGGACTGCTGAAGCTTATAGGGAATCCAAATGTTTTGGATTTTTGGGTGTTTCTGCCTTTGTGAAGCGCTATGAGATGACTTGTTGTTGTAAATATGCGCTATACAAATAAAATTGAATTAAACTGAATTCAAATTGAAAAAGTCAGAACATCCTGAACTCTGATGGCAGGACCACAGAGCCTGGTCATTTAATGAAGCAGCGTTCGTCCTCTGTGTTTCCACAGAAACCAAAGGATGCAGCCGTAATGACCACTTGCAGTCTAAAAGCACCTTTAGTCTGTCAGCTGTGCCCCGTTGTCCGGCTGTCCCCTAAAACATGGATTTTGTGTAAATCATTCCCTTTAATAACCAGTGTTTCACATGGCATCCATGTTGTCCCTCAGGTCACAAGTACAAGTCATGGTGAAACAGCAAGAGATGATTATTCAAACAGCTGTAAGCTGTCGTAGCAGGTCTTGCTGTTGTCTGAATGTAAAAGTGTAATAAGTCCATCTTCTTGTGAGGAACCCTGTGTGAAGGGAGATGTGAGGGCTCTGACATCATGCCTCTGGCCTGGTCGTTCACCCTCCACACCCACAGTGGCAGGAACAAACACTGGGGGTGATATGTGACTTGTGACATGCACGTCTGGCATCCGTTTCATGTCGATTGGATTTCTTGCAGTCTTTTGACCCTGGCATCCCCGACCCGTTATTTCTGTCACATTTAATTTATGGCCTCAATCTGCGGTGGCGAGGGGCGCTGAAGGAGCGGTGGTCTGGAGGTGAGCAGGGGTTGCTTTCTCCTTCCCTCCGCTCTCACAAACAATACTCACATGCATGCAGCTGTGAATGGGGACAGTGTGGCGGTAAAGCGCAAAGACAGATGAGAGGACAGTCATCTGTCATCTCTTCAAAAAGGGGACGCTGGAGGAATGTGATGAGGACTGAGGGGGAGGAGAGTGAAGGAAGAGGCGGTGACAGAGTGACCTCCCCTTTATCCCGTCCCTCTCTCAGTGTCGCTGTGGTCAGTGTGAAGGCATGTTAGGAGCCAGTGTGAGGATGTTAGAGGATTCTCTGTGGAAACGTTCAGAGAGAGAAGTGAAAGCGATGCAGAAATAGATGTGTGTGTTTGCTCACTGGAAACCCCATAAACCAACATGTGAATGCTTTTCTTTTCCCCTCTCTCTTTTCCTCTGCTTCTAAACTATTTATGAACATTTTGGCGTAGCTCACACGGGGGAAACAAATTCAGGTGACAGCCATTGATAGTTTTCTTACTTTGTACGGTTAATTGCTGCCGTTTTACCACTTAACCACACCACAAATTACTATTTATATGGAAAGTCAACAGGAATTTCCAGGGATTAATTTTCCATTTTTAAACCGTAGAATGGAATCCATTAAATTCATTATTAAGACTGAAGTTGTTGTTTTTTAAAAAAAAAAATAAACATGAAATACAAACACATGACCTCCTTTCTGATTCCTACTGAAGTCCTTTAGGTCTTCCTCTCCGTCTGTCCTCTCCTCCATGTCTGCTCTGTGGATTTTCTAGATGAGGGCAGTTACTATGTCAACATGTGTAACTCCTGCTGCTGTCAGAGGGATGTTCAAGGTGGACAAGCAGTGAAGATGCTTGTGGTATATTTCTGCTGCTCTGCTCTGGCTGGCTGTCCTGAGCCTTTAACCACCACCACACAGCCCTCCACCCCATCCACAAATCCTCAATCAGACACTTGTCTCCCGTCCCTCTCCTGGACAGGAATAGCAGCACCATCCCATAGGAATCTCCTTGCACATTTTGTTTCCATCCTCCCTGTCATGGGCTGCTCCGCTCACATCTTTATCCTTTTTCTTCTTCTAATACTAACTTCATCGACTAATTCTCAGCCTTTTTGCATTTATTGCCCTTTCAAAGGTTCTACCTTTAACCTAGGTGGCATCTTTACAGTGAGAGGAGCAATATTATTCTCACACATATTTATGCATATATGGTGCATGCTCATCCCAAAGACTTAAGTAGCATCAATTCCTTCTTTTTCTTTGTCTGTTTATATGAAGACAGACTCTGTCTTGGTAGATGCTGAATGCCTCATTTGGCCTCATTCTGCACGTGCAGCTTTTATTTTTCAGCTACAGTAGTTTTCCACTTTTTGCTTGATAATAGTAGCTTCAGATTCACTACATTTATTTGATTTTGCATAAAAAATACATGATAGATTTAAAAAAAAAGAACAGATTTTATAATCCCTCAGATAAAATGGTCACTCTTCAGCCAGTCTACTGTCTGTGTCTCCAGGTATGTGAAGGCCTTCGCATCTGACGTCACTTTCATCTTCTCCACAAGTCTGCTAGTCTGTGCTGACCCAAAATTAGTGTTGCATGGCAACTATTGTAGAAGGCTGGTAGTACGCATGCTTGGCAGTCCAGTAAAGTAGCTTCATACCAACAACTATGCGTCTGTGGTGTCTGCAGCTGTTCGTGTGTGATTAAACTACCACCCTGTATCTAAAGTATCTGAAACTACATTTTTAAATTCCACTGCTTGTTTTACTCAGTCAGGACTAACATTAACCATACAGTCTTATTTTACTAAATATATATTTAAAATATATTTAAATTCCCTGTGAGCACAGATTACACACACATGGTGACAGTCATTGTTAGCTGGTGGAGCTACTTGGCCAACTCAGAATGTGTGCGATTATAAGCATGTATGATATTGTAAGATGTGTGATGGTGTGTGTATTGCAGGTAAACAGGTTCCAACTACCCCCACACTGTTTGTCACATCTGTTCAAGGTGTTTTATGACTTCATGTGTTAATTTCTGACAACCTGTAGAGCTGAATACAACAGTTTTTAATTGTTTTTTATGATGATGTGTATCCTGGCAAGTGATAGAAAGTCTGCTGAGGAGGTTGAGCAGGATTATTAGATCAAATCCACCATAACTGCAGCAGGAGGGAGTTGTGGCCTTCAACTAGCTTCTTAAATTGTGCTCTTGTAGCGACAAATTATTACACCCACAGCTGTTTGGTGTCTGCAAGTAGATGTATGTGTGTGAGAAGGAGAGACAGTTTGTGTTAGCTTGTTGCGCTGTATACGGTAAGTGTCAGCTCGCGGCTCATTTCTGTCTCCCTGACACTCGCCTGGGGATAATAAAGCCTAGCAACAATTGTTTGTTCCATTATGGTGTGTTTCCACTCTATTGTGCTTCACAGCTCCGTCTGAACCGCATCCAGCCGAGAACCAAAACTCTGGCCTGCAAACTCCCAATTTTGAGTTGGGAAGCAGCCCTCCCAGTA